GACCACTCTACACCCCTTCCCTTCTGCCAGAGCGGCTACGTTTTGTATGAAATAGTTAAACATTGGGCTTGAAAGCAAGCACAGGGTTTTCTCTACTTCAGTGGTCTGGGCACTCATCTGTGAGCAGGCAGACCTGACGTCCAGTCCTTGCTTCAATTAATGTTTACTTCAAATTTAAAAGCCATACAAGGACCCCAATCCAGGCAAACCCCCCTCCCCTGTGGGTCTCCTAACCCCTGGGCTCGACCATCGTGCTCTCTCATGTATACGTGTGAACTCTCTCTTGCTGATTTAATGAACATCAAAATATTCCATGCACATGAGACAGCTTCAGGAAGAGGAAAGTAAAGAAAACTTGCACCATTGTGTAATAAGCCATAACCCTCTCCCTGAAACAATACAAGAACAGAACCTATTTCAAATGGGTGTTGTAATAATTAAGCTCTTACACACATACGTGATAATAGCTGCTCTTCATGTACCTCTGAAGAACCTGATGTGTTTAAGCATTCTTCCAGTTTAAAATACAGTGGTGACATGAGAATAATTAATTTGTAAATCTTTTCCCCGATACAGGTTTGAGCTTGGTGGTGTCCAGACTAAGGCATTTTAGCCTTATCCAGAAGCAATATTTTCAGGGCCCATGAAAGACTTCTGGGGACTTGGATGTCTCTAGCATCTGCCACTAGATTACTTCACCAGGTCACTTGGAGAGGATGTGCAAGCTCCCTCTTCTGAGGCTTTCTATACTCAGACCAACAAAGCCACAGCTGAGTCAATCCTGTGGGTCTGGCCTGAGCAGGAAGCTGGACTAGATACGCCCCAGAGGTCCCATCTGGGATCAGCACTTGGATTTTGTTGGCCTGAAACTTGTCTATTTCAAACTACATTTCTTTCTGTACACCACATTTAAGAAATGATAATTTGAGACATTTCACTTTCAGGTGAATATACTGAAGTATATTCAGTGATCAGACAAGAGAGCAAGCTCATAACATGCTTTTCATAAACGCTACACAGCTGCCTGCCTGAATCATAAATTGGGAGCTTTAATGGTTCACTCACACCCACTATTGCCATACATCCAAATTAAGGTCAGTTTGGATCACTTCCCCGTTGAATAGACTTCCCTTAATTAGATATTCCAGAGATAATGTTTTAACAGCTCATTATTTTATTACTTTGTTGCAGACACAGGCCTAAAACAAGAAATTTGGGATAAGGCAGCTCTCTACAGTCCTTTCCCACTCCAGAGCAGAATGGGTCTCTGTATTGACATCTACTGCTCATGAGGTAATGCAGCAGCAGCACGGAGGACTTGAAGGAGTAATTAGAAAACAAAGGTTGCAGAATCTGATTTAAAGATATAGGTACCTAATCCAACGTTTCTACTTAATCTCAGAAATTTTATTTCTTGTCAACCACCACAGCCTCTGTATCAACATAAACATTTCTATTTGATACAGACCTATACTTTCAGTTCAACATTAGCATCATCGCAGTTACACCAGTATTTTGCTCAGCTAGGGAAAAGTTTAACCAGTATAAGAACATTTATAGAAGTTTACTATTATCCACACTTCAACTGTATCACTATAAATAAATCAGAACCAGTTTGGGGTTTAGACAGACCTCCAACAGTATTGCTACTGCATAACTGTGTAGCCCAGGGAAGGAAATGGGCTCATCTTCAGCACAACACTTAGATCAAGTTACTTCACACAGACTAACCTTGAGAGTACACACTAAGAAACAACATTTCAGCTACAGGGCTTGATTTGATTATGAACAGAGTGATTAGATTAGCAGCAGATGACTTGGAAGTCAAGCTGCTGCATCCCCATCGCATTACCAGTTCCACAAGCAACAACACTCCCCCTTTCACCCAACCCTCCCCACAGGCCAGGCAGCTCAGGCTTTAAGCATCTCTTTAAGCTTCTTTAGACACCAAGTAAACAAAAGACAAAATTTAAATCTTGCTTCTTGTTGTACTAAAACCAATCTGCTATCATACAACATCAATAGCTTGCCTGTCAGGGTCAAAATGACTATTAAAAGCATTACACAGGTCACAACATTTCATAAATGAAATAGATATAAAAGAAAAGCTGACATCTCGCTTACCAGGAGGCCACACGGTCCAAGAGACAGCAGCTTGAAGGGAGATAATTTTCTCAGCTCTAGTTATCAGCAACCAGGGCAGAAAAAAAGAAAAACAAAATGAAACACACTTTAAACAAGTGGACACGAGCATCAGCCTATATTCCAGTACAGCTGAACTGATACAACCTGAGAAGCAAGCTGCCTTCAACCAGGACATAGAAAGTGAAGTGCTAAAGTTGCTATTCTTCAACTCAGCCCCATTAATCACCAACGCTTGCCTGTTGTGGAGTTCAGCTGATGAGTAGCAACTCATTAAACCAAAGGAACTTGCAGCCATCTGCCCAGCTGCTTTACTTTTTTTTAATCAATTTTGCTTGAGTTCTGTGAATTTAGCTAAAATACAGAAAATGCTTTTAAGTTAACACGAAAGAAACTTCTTAAGAAAGCTGTGTAGACAGCACCTAAATTGATGTAGGGTCAGGAGAAAAAACAGAGGGGAACGATAGCTGCTTATTCAAAAGGATTATAGTATGCAGCCTGTTATTTCTGTAAAGAGGTTTTGGCTGTGTTCGAATTGTTGACAATACTGTTCAAGAAAATTTTGCAACAAACATGCTTAGTTTTTGTTGTGTTTTGTTTTTTGCTTTTTTTTTTTAAAATAAAACAGGGTACAAAAAAAGTCCATCTTTATCAGCACCACCTAGAAAACACCCTCTGCTTCTCCAAAGTAATACTTGGCTAAGTTACCCACAGCATGCCCATTCTGCTGAGCCTACCTACCCTCATCTGATCCTAATTCCAACCCAACTGGGAGCATTCTCCCGCTCTGACAAGGAAGCCTTTACAGGAGGTACCAGCCCTCCTCCACTCTCCTCCATCCCCCAGAAGGAAAAAAAAACATATTGCGAAAATATTTTAACTCAATAGGGCTTTCTTCTCAGAGACATTATTATCACAAGATTAAACAAAACTGATGGTTTCTATCCAAAGTATGCAAGGTTATGACTTTCTGGAATTTATCTGGGGCATTTATCATTCATTTTGAAATTCACTGTATTGTATCTCATGTTATTTACCCAAGCACCAGAGCCAGGGCATGAGATGTGTGGGAATTACTTGTTTTGTTCAACCCAGCATAGTGTATTTCAGTTTTTATAGAGGTTTCATGAGCTCTCCAGTTTCTCCTTTAGAATCTTTATCACAATATTGTTGAGAAAACCTATTAATTCATAGTTACTTTAAAAAAAAATAAATCTGTGTTTGAGTCAAAATGTAAAGAAAAAAAGGTAGGGGGGAAGAAATCTGGAATATTTCTGTTGGTGTTTTAAGGCATAACAAACTACAGTAATTTATTTCACCATATCCAGTTGTAATGCTAAACCACAGATAAACATTACTAATGTAGCAAGAATGTGTTTCTTCTTTCTGACGGAGGTCCAAGATTGCCCTCTTGAGTATGCCAAACAGCATGGGGTACTTCATTTAGCATGTGATTGGCACACACTTTAGTTTTGAATCAGTTTGGAGACGAAATTGTTGGCTAACGCTCTGGAAATTCTGACTCTACAGTTGTCAGGCAGGCTGTCTTTACTTTGAGACAAAATAATTCTTTTTAATAATACTATGTTACTTGGCTTTTTATCTGTTTTTACTTTGTTCATTAATGTTTTGCATTTCTATGCATTGTGCAGCATCCCAAGAACTTTAGGTGGGGAAACTTCATTTTAAAAAAAAAAAAAGTTTATTATTTCAGCATGTCCTAATAAAATCGCTACACGTTTGGGAAACATTCTGATCCAGTCTACTTTGATGGCACACAAAAAGGTCAGCCATTACACGCTGGCACAGAAAGATAGATCTGTTCCCTGAAAGGCAGATATAATTTCTTAACATAGCTCATTTCCAAAGCATCTCTTAAAATGCAGGGAATTCTAAGGGTTGAGGGTTTATTTTCCCATTTATCTTGTAAACAAAGGAAACTACTTCCATAAACTTATGCTTAGATTTTTTTAGTAAGCATTATTTTGCATAGCAATAAGCTTATTTCTAGTATATTTTAAGACACACCATTGGGTTTATTACCTTGTTGTTACTAATGAAAAAGATCCACAAGAGGAAAACACATTATTTGGAGGTCTTCAGATCCAGTTCACCTCAACCTCAAACCTTCATGCAGCCTTCCACTTTCAGCTTTGGCTTTTTTCCCCTTACTGCCATGAATGACGCGTACAAACACACACATTTTGCTGGGGCACACACAGCCACACAAACATTGTTTACAACATCCTTTCTTGCTTTACTTATACAACTGCTGTGTTATAACCAAACATTTCAAATTTTTTGCACAGCAATCTAATGCACAGCTTCTTTAGTATCTAGTTTCTCTAGTGGCTGGTAGCCTGCCTTCATATCCATGAAACCTTTCCGAAATGTTTATTGCCTACCTGAACATGCAGTTTTGGCTCCCTGTCGTGGTAAAACCTCAAGGATCCAGCTCCATTAAATACTTCTGTCAACACAGATGCTGTCAGCTGCTGGAGGTGCAGCCATACCTCTGCTTCTGAAGTAGAAGGAGCTTTTGTATCAAGATGAGGGTCAACCAGTATCAAGTAACACAAGTACAATCACCACCTCTGTTCTCCTAAAAGAGGCATTTCTAAAAATATGTACAAACATGCTTTTCCTTATAATGCTCTTCTTCATTAAAATGTTTATAGTAATGTATATCTTCAGGGTAATGTATGATCTTTGATTTCAATGAACTCTCAACTGAACTCCCACATTTACTTTACATATGTGTTTATTTCATCACCCATTTGAGTAATAACTAGTTCAGATCTCGAGAAAAGGCTCTGATGTGATAAGTCAGTGCTACAAAAGTATTTCTAGAATTAAGATTACTTCTTTGGCTGCAGGTTTTTTTCATTCTCTGGAACAGGCTTGTCAGCGCAATGTTTCTGTTGACCAAATGGGCTCTCAGTATTTTGACTTTTCATAAATGATGTCTGGTAAATGGTTAAGCCATCCTCCCTGCTAGGAGCTGCTGCATGAGCCCACTGGAAGAAGTTCTGGGAGTTCTGTTGCCGTCTCTCTGGTTCCACCTTCCTCCGGCCTAGATCCTAGGAAAAAAAAAAATGAAAGCAAAATTCATGTAAACATACGACTTACACTCACAGTTTCACTGATGAATCTTCCAACAGTCACTACCCCACTGGGAAGTTAACGAAGCTGTTACTACAGTGATTTCAAGAACTCATGGCTGATCTTTAGCAAGTTAAAAATAATATTGTCAGACTTGCCTGTATGAACATTTCTGGTTGCATATATAATGAAAGATTTGTTGACCTTCCATCTCTCAGTACTAATAAACCCCTTGTACTTTGCATTTCTGTAGCACACTATAGACTCAAAGCTATTTAGCTATACTCAGCTAAATTAATCTTCAGAGGAACCCAAAGAAATAGGTTAATAATTTTACGTCCTGACTCCAATAAAGAAACTGAGACAGACCATGAAATCTGAATCTTCAAAACCATCCCTTGTGTGTCCAAACACAGAGAGACAGAGCCTGAATTTAACATTCCATAGCCTGCAGGAAATTTATTTGGAATTATGGTTGATCAGTATCTGTAAAACTATGAGACCCTGCACAAAGTGTACAGAAATGGAGGTTACTCAGTGAATAACAAATACCAAAAATCTAGGTCTAAGAGAGCCCAAAGTCAGACCAGCTTTCAGTATCACAATTCCTCCTCTACTCATTATCTTGTGAACTGCACTATTTCTTTTGCTGCCTAGAAAGATGCCAACAACCTAAGAAAAGTGGAAAAACATAGAACTGTTGCATATAGAGAAAAGCCCCAAACAATTTAAATTCTATTCAAAGTTGTGGCTTCTGCAAAATACATTTAACCAGCTATATTATAAAGAGATGTGGACTGGAAAACAATACATTCTAGAGATATATTGTGTGTGTCCTATGGATTTTGGTTAAACTTAAAATAAAGATAAGTTTGGATCAAATATGTAGGACTATGAGTGACTGAGACTGCTAGAAAAGTTCATCACAAGGCAAATCACTTTTAGCAGACTAATAGGATGCATAACTGGATACAAAATCATGTTAAGACACAATAACCAGGACCACTAGAAACTGCCTATCAGAGACCCAAATAATGGCTTTTCATTCCCCCTGAATTTAGCCAGTCTCAATGCCCAAGTCTGCTGCTGTGGGCCTGGGCCAGTCCCAAATGAATCCCATCCCTGTGCTAATAAAAAGTGCGGTTTTCTTTGCTGTTTACATTTTTCTCACACAATTTTTAGCATCTTGAATTGTGCTGGGTACTTACAAAATCAAAATACTCTCCTACATTCTGCAGACTGTTTCTGTTGTCATGAGAAGAAAATGGGAAATTGTTGCTCACTGCTTTCTGAAAAAAATAAATATAGGAAAACAATACGAATTTTCACATACCTTGTTTAGAGTCCACTAGTCTTAGCTCTTATACTCTGACAGATGTTGAAATGACAGCTGCCTATGTTCTCACACAGAAGTCATATTCATATATTAAATCTTCAACCGCACAGAATTTTATAGAGCCAATGGGGACCTGCTATAATTTTTTTTTAAATAATCAGCAGGATGTGCGTTCCCAGGACTTGCTGAATATATACACAATTAATACAACAGTGTGAATTTTCAAATAAGAAATACTGCATTCTGTCTGTAAGCAGCAAAATACTAGATATATATCAGGATTGCCTTGTTTGATTCTCTAGTAAGCCTAAAGCTAATTAAAATGAACTACAAAAGGGACCTCAAAACTGAATTCATCTATGATTTATGTACTTAATGTCATGTACACCGCTTGTTGCACGGGAAGTGGAGGAGGTATTAATTGCAAAACTAATTTATAATCTCATTCTTTAACATAATGTTCATCCAATCTCTAAAATGAAACTAGAGTTTTAGAAGAAAGGACTATTTTAAAAAGTAATTTAATATATCCATTTTTTTAGAGTTTGTTTATTATATATCATTGTAAATTATTAAAATAGCTAAAAATCAAAACACTGAAAACTGTTCTGGACCACTAAATTGCCTCTTTTTTTCCTGAAGCATTATTTTCCTGCTTCATGCTGGGAACTTCATGGTTTTTTCTGCAAATGCTGTAGCACTTTTTACTTTTAACATTGTGGAATACATTTTTCATGTTCCAACTATAGTATTCACCTCCAAAGAGAAGACCAAGTTTCAATGTAACACGAATTTAAAAACTTATTTCAAGAGTAAGTGAATCTGAATCAGCTCTAAAGATAAATTTAACTGGAGATCTGATCTGGCAAGAAGAATCACCAGATACAAAATCTGCCAGCATGGAGTCAGCTGCATGATTGTGTCTTAGGGTATTTGGTACTCTAGACAGATTATCTACCTTTTTTGGGCACGTGCCACATGTTCAGACTGTAGTTCAATGGATAAGTACATTAAAAAGATACATTCTCATATGTGTTTAAAAATAAGCACCTTCTAGGTCAGTAAAATGCACTACTTACTAAAATATCCTACTGCAATCACACATCAATCACACTTTAGGAATAATGTTTATAACTAGATCCAATATGCTGCAGGAAAATTGAAAACCAAGATGGTACATATTGAATAGCATCTCTTGGATGAATTCCCCGTATTAACTAATGTTTTTTTAAAAGCTATTACAGAATAATTACAGGACTATCATGAAGTAAGAAATAAGAGGCAATATAAGCTTAAACAGTACTATATTGCTGAGAAAATTAATTAACCTCACAGCCAGTGAGCTCCCTCATACAAAGAGATTAAAGACATCCAGCTTCATGTGCAGCGAGCTTCCAACACTCTACCAGCACTTCTTGAAAATGCCACATAAACAAACTTCCTCAGATTGTTCCTGTGACCACATTTTAGCCATCTTCATATTCTCACCACTGACCTTATTTTAATTCTTGATTTATGACATAGGGATTCCAGTAATTATTTTTAACAGTGAAGGACTGGTAAAAGCAAGGCATAAACCAGTCACATTAGTGTTGATAAAGGTCCAGCTAACCTGGTTCTCCTTTTCAGACAGTGGCTGAGGCCAGATGCTCCATAAAAAGGTATATGTAATATCAACATAATGTATATTCATGTTACAGTATGATCTTCTTTTCCTTTCACTAGCCTCAAGCTTCCCTTTTAAATATTCCTTCCTAGCCCATTTCTGCTCGTCATTATAGCAAAATCTGTGAAATGAACTCAATATAATTGCTACACTTATAGAAAATTAAAATAGAAAATGTTCTGGGCACAAAGTGGGTGGGTAAAGCAAAGCTCAGCGTGACGATAAAATAAGGACATAAAAACGTGCTTATGAAATTGTAACATTTTAAATACTTGTGATTTTAAAATGCTTTGTTTCCAAAGTTGTCCCAAATCTTCTCATTTTAAGCAAGGCTTAAAAATGTTTAAAATGGGAAGCTTCTAACTTTTTAATGATCAAGAAAATAATCCTATCCCTGAATATACAGAATTTCTGACACTCAATTTAAAACAGATAATCAAATTTCTATTAAACAGTCTTATAGAACCATAGAATCATAGAACACCAGGATGGAAGGGACCACAAGGATCATCTAGTCCAATAAGGCTTTACACACAGGTTTTGGACTGAGATTAATCATAATATATTCTGGCACATAAACAAGTCTCAAACAGCTATAGTAGCTAATAAAAAAAAGTAACTGATGCTGGAAATCAGCAATAATGGCAGCAGGACTTTGAGTATCCAAAATTCTAACTGAGTAACAGCAAAACATGTTTCTTCCTTAGCACAGCTAGCAATCATTTCACTCCCTGAGGCACAAAGTCTGCCAGTTCGCTCCGACTGCTTTGCCAACGACTGTAAGCGCTATTCTTACTTTAACTTAGCGAGTGATATCTTGCAAAAAGGAGCTCTGTAAATTGACTGTATTGCCACAAAAACTCACTTGTTCCCTAGCTTTGTATGCTGGTGGTACTTTATCCTTAATATACTGAGCAGCTCCTGAGTCGTGGACCTGCTTTTGTGCAGCACGTGTAGTTGACTCAGGTGGAGTCTGGCATACTTCAGCGTGAGCAAACTAGAAGATAGTAAAAATTGTGGCACAAATAAAGAAAAAAATAACCAACAAAAACCCCAAATAAATCTGATCAGAAGTGTGGGCGAAATTGTCTTTTTCCCATTTATTTTTAATATTTGGATTGCAGCAGCACCTAGTGGCCTCTGGAAAAATCAGAAGCCTCCCATATACAACACAATCCCTACCATAAAGACCTTATAACATAGATCAGTAATCAGATAAGGATAATATTACTCCAGGATCTTTCGGAAAACTGTTTACACAGTGGTAATCCATCTAGTAAAGTTGCTTATGCTGCAACATCTTTTTTTTTTTTGATTCACACTGCTGTATGACCATCAGTTTGAAAGCACAACATATTCTGGGATCAGTTCAGCAAAGTGCTAGGGACACAGGGTCAGAGACTGAAGAACAGCCTGTGCCAGCTGTGCATATGCCCAGAGGACCCAGCACAGGGCTTCTGACAGGGACCAGGGCACTTCTAAGGGTGAGAACCAAGGCAAACATCAGTTGGCATTTTCCAGAATCACATAATCGTTTAGGTTGGAAAAGACCTTAAACATCAACAAGTCGAACTGTTAACCTAGCACTGCTAAGTCCACTGCTAAACCATGTCTGTAGGTACCACACCTACATGTCCTTTAAATACCCTCAGGGATGGTTACTCCAGCACTTCCTTGGGCAGTCAGTTCCAACACTTGACAACGCTTTTGGTGAAGTTTTTCCTAATAGCCAATCTAAACCTCCCCTGGTGCAACCTAAGGAAGTTTTCTCTTGTCCTAACGCTTATGATAATCAGCTAGGGCTATGTATATAATAGACCTCCAACACTGCCAGAAAATGGGGGAAAAAAAATCCTGCCAGAGTTTGCTTTAGCACAATTCCTCTGAATAATCAAGGGCATAGGGAGAAACCTGCGGGGAACGGGGAAACTAATTTCCAGCTAACTTAGCACGGCTTTTTTTTCGATAGTTTAAGCCTAAAAAAGCCTCACCCAGGCATTGGAACGGCCCTGGTCGCGGGGGGCGCCTCTATCTTTAGGCATGCCTGCGCGCTGCTGTTCTGCCCGATCCCCCGTGTGCCCCGCGGTTGCCGCGGCGCCCGTTTGTCCCGGGTACGCAGAGGGACACACCTTCCCCTTGCCGTGACGTCAGACCCCACTCTGCTCCACAGAGCGATGCCGGTGTTTCAGTAAGAGCCGGCCGAGCAAAGGCAGCGCGGCTTTTACCCGTGGAGTGCAAAAGGGAGACAAAAAAGTAGCTAAAAATATGGAATGATGTCTCAGAATGGGACTTTTTAGAAGGGCATTTAGCGACAGGATGCTTTGAGCAGCCTGGGCTGGCGGGAGGTGTCCCTGTCCATGGCAGTGAGTTGGGATCAGATGGTCTTTAAGGTGCCTTCCAACCCACAAAGGAAACAAGGCTTATACAACTGTACTTTCTGAGATCCCATAATAATTTTCAAATCCGCAAGACATTTTCAATCCACTTTGAGAGAAAGAAAGAATTTATAAGATGACTAGGATCATCCAAGCTCCATGAGGATCAGTGGCAGGACAGAAAAGTACTGCAATAAAGAAAGGCATGTCCTGGACCAGTTGCTATTTATATATTTTCTAAGAGACTGCTGACAGGCAGTCAGCATTTGTACTTCCTGGCCAGTCACAAACTGTGCTATCTCTTGTGGCATGGAGAATAAAAAGCATAATCTAAGAGAAAAATAATAAATATTAAAACACCTTTAGGCAGTATTCATGGCACCATTTACTTGCATAGGGCATCACAGCTCAGCTGTTGTCAAACTCAGTGCATAAGCAGGAGCCAACACACTTCAATTCTTTATTCCCCCACACACTAAGAACCATAGAATTGTTTGGATGGAAAAGATCTAAGATCATCAAGATGAACCATTATCCAGCTCTACCATGCCCACTTCTAAACCATGTCCCTGAGATACCTAGACAGCGTTGAAACACATCCAAGCATGGCAATTCCACCACTTCCCTGGGCAGCCTGCGCCAGTTTTTAACAACCCTTTCAGTATAGGAGTTTTTCCTAACGTCTAACCTAAACCTTCCCTGGCTTCACTTGCTGTCATTTCCTCTTGTCGTACCAGTTGTAACTTGTATGAAAAGACTGGCACCAATCTCTCTACAACCTCCTTCCAGGTAGTTCTAGAGAGCAATAAGGTCTCCCCTCAGCCTTCTTTTCTTCAGACTAAAGGTGCCCCACCATCAAGCATTCACTGGTTTCATTACAGTTACACTTGCAAACCTCATCGACAATCACTACCAGCCCATTTCCTTACCTAAACTACCTAATATGGCATTGTATCACTCCGTTCTCAAGATCGGGTTGGGACAACCCAGGTCTGCCGGGATCCCGGAGCACCGGCCATCAGCAGGCCCCAGGGGCTCGGCAGCTCCACACAGAAACGCGCCCTGAAGGCTGCAGCACCTCACCCTCCCAATACGGCACAGAGCGGCGAGAGAACTCCAACAGCTGACAGCGCAGTTTCACCACAAACCCTCACTTCGCTTCAACGCCCCTGAGGGACAAGAAGCCGCCCCGAAAAG